TTTTCACTGAGGCAGTAGTAGAAGAGGTCTTGCTTGATTGGGTCCTTCAATGTTGATCTTCCATCAGCATTGCTTCTGCTGTAGCCCTCGTTTTGGAGCAAGTTTGAGTGCATAACCAAGCAGATGAATTGGTGATTGGTCCAGAAATCCTTAGCTCCTCCTTGGTTTCATTGACAGCATCAAAAGTCAGGGCATACACACTGATGACAGTGGTGTATTGGCTCCAAACCAGTATAAGACAGAGATTCAGGCGGCACTCAATAATTCCAATAGGGAACAAATTGAGTTGGTTTTTTAGTTCATTCTTGATGGCAAACCCAACTCCATGAAGTTGGCATTTTCCTTCCTGTTTACCCTTCCAGGAGAAAGTATAGCCACCTCCATGGTCTTTGAGCGGCCCATCTCCCACTTGCTGGGTCTCACTCAGTGCATCAAAATTGATGTTGTATCGCCTCAGTTCTTGAGCCACAATTTTGGTGTGGCACTCCAGGCATTCATTATTAGGATTCACGGCAGAGCTATACTGCTACTTAAAGCATCCACAGGTGGTGGATACAAGGATGACCTTCAGGGAAGGTTAGCTGTGAAACAGGTAGAGGTAACTCTGATAAATAAGTAGTGGTGGACCAAGCAGCGGCAGCACCACCATGAAGTGTTGGGGACAGCACATGGCAACATTTTCCCTCCTGGAAAGTCATATATATATCCTTTGCCATGACATGGCAAGTACAGGTCACCACTATTATAAGCTTGCCCAGCCCCTAGCCTTATGTCTATAAGTCCTCAACAGTGGAACAGGCAGAAAAAGATATTAAAATCTCAATGGTTTTGAAGGCAGATAAAGGATGCAGAGGAATGAGACCTCCAATTATTTTAGCCTCCTTGCCATTGGATTAAGGTCTCATTCTGTCAAGAACCATCTGGAAGCTGATGTGCAGTAGTTTCTCTGTGATGAAAGAAATTACATACAGCAGTCTTCCACAAAAGTGGTTTTTCCAGCACATTTTTTTTTTTTAAGGCCTTTGTCAACTGCCTAGTGATGACAGGAGTAGGATTGTGAAGCTCCTAGTCATGAACTGGCACAAAAGCAGCAGTTACAAGATCATTTAGCACTTGGATGAGGCAGGAGTACAATTTGGCAGCTGTAACTGTTACTGAGCAGCCCTCTTCAGGATCCACTCTGCTCACCCCAAATGAAAAGCAGGCAGAAAAGGTGCCCTGAACATAGCCTGTCTACCTTCTTCCTGACTGGATAACCATATCCAATGGGATCACCTTTACTGTGTTTGAAATCAACAAAGACACACAATCAATTTTGGGACCTGGAACATCAAGAGCTTCATGGAGTTTCTATAACATTGATGGAAATGTCATTAGAACAGTGAGAAGTGACCATTTCCACACATTATAAAATCACATTAAAATATAATATGTTACTAACCTTGTTCTGAAGTGGGGAGAATGAAGTGGTCATTCTATATTGATGCTTATATGTGAAGGGATGTAAAAAAAAAAAACAGATTAATAAAAATAGCTTATTGATTACAAATCTATGGACCTGCCACAAATATTACATATCTTTCCTAGTGTGAGGTTACTATAACCATCATCTAACTGCCTTATAGCAGGGTAGAAGCAATCTTTGTTCTTCTGCTAGACACATCACATAGTTTGAATCAATTTGACAGTCACAGAGCAGCTCCTGTTAGAACACCACTCCTCCTTTTCAATTAGCAGAGTCTCACAACAGAATTACAGAACTCTCCTGTGGCATTATCAATACTGAAGAGAACTGTAATATTATAAAGGAGGGACTGGATAACATCTGGCAGAATTGTGATTTAATTTAATAACAAAAAAAAACAGGCATCCATTTACAAGAATCTCTGCTATAATTTGAGGGTGTATCACTTAGAAATAATAGGGGAGGCAAAAGACCTGAATACATTAGTCAAAGACAGGCTCTGAGCCACCAATAGAATACAATAATGAAAAAAGAAAATGAAATCCTAGGATGTATTAGATGAGGTATATCTGCAAAGATCAGAAAGTATAAATACCATTGTGTAAGGTTGTGGTAAGACTACATCCAGAACTCTGGTACAATTCTGGGCACCTACCATACTTTCTCACATAGAACACATAACTTTTTTCCAAAAATCAGCTGCTAAAATTGGGATGCATACATACATGAGGAAATATGGTAATGGCATTTAGTTGCTTGCCAAGACAAAGGGTGGCAAATGGACCACTAGCCCTGGGTGCCAATTCAGAGGGGCACTATATTGGGACCCCAGGGAGTCCATACCACAGGGCTACTACAGCTGGTGTCCCAGGAGCCTATCTTCTGACTGGAGTGACAGCCCACTTACAGCAACTGGCATCAAGACTGCAGGGTCTCCTGGTCAGGGAAGGTAAGCCTCAGATCCCCTCTCTGGCCCCAGCCCTCCCAAGAGTCACAGAATATTCTACTTTCTCTTCTCTGCCCTCCCACTCTGTCCAGAGCAACCAAGAAGCTTGTTAATCTGATTCTCATCCCCTGCCCTCCTCTGTTTCACTTAAACTGATACTCTCCAGCTGGTCTCTGATGTGTGACCAGCAGCAGCTGGGGGGATTGCTCTCCCATCCCCTTGCAGCTTTCAGTGTTTCATTGCTAGCTATATTAGAGGCACATGAAAGAGCAGCTACATTGTTAAACCTACAAACACAAGAGGGACAAGGCAGTTACATTCTTTCACTGTCAGTGAAAAAATTAAAAATACCAAAAGTAGGAGAACTTGAAACCAATGCTGCTGAAAGTGCAGCATCAGTGAAGTATGTACAAGAGACTAGGGGAAGGAGAAACTAGCAGTACTGATAGATAAGCATTTTGTGACCCAGGGGCAAAATACCTGGAACTTGAAGAATAACTTGTGGTATGCGTGTGAGAGAGAAAGCAGGTTGTATATGCAGTGTCAACAAAAAAGTCCCAGATAAAAAACACAGAAATCACTAGAGAACTAGGATTAGGTCTTCAATTCAGGGCAAGCAGAGGGTGGATACAGAGATTTTATAGAAGACATGGGCTTTCAATAAGGTGCACAATGGTTTTGCAGTGCCTGAGGCATATGAGAAAAAATTGACAAGTTTTCAATAATATGTGATCAGCCTGCAGGGTTGCAGCTTTTGTACTTATGGGGCATGTCTATGTGCCATTAACACACAGCAATAAACTGCAGAGTTTATTGCTCCACAGTGTATTGCTCCTGGGAAGCTCCCGGGCAGATGGTTTACACATGTGCCCAAACCGCAGCACACTGAACCAGGTTGCAGCAGCCCCAGCTAGCAGAGTTTCAGGGAGCCAGCCTGTGGCAACTCAAACTGGGCTGAATGTGCTGTGGAGGGCCTGGCTAGGGCGCAAGGGTGCTTCAGTGTCAGGCTAGCCAGCAGGCAGCCCCTGCACTGAAGCGCACCCTCGTGCCCCAGGCAGCTGGGTCTGTCTACACATACACTGCTGTGCATGAAAAAACTCCGCAGCAGAGTATATTAGTATTATGAGACCTAATAGGGGTGCACATGTAGATACTGAAAGATTTACTGTAGAGTTAATCAACTGTGCTGTAAATGTCTCGTGCAGATGCGCCCACTGTCACAAGCAGGGAATATAGATCAGATGCTGGCATATCTTGAAATGCCATCTGATGCCACAGTAAATGAGAGTTGAGCAAAAGCTGTCTGCATAAGAACAGATGTGTATAAAAAGAAGCACTGCACTGTTATGCTGGCCATACTTGTTGACAGAATGAAGTTGCCAGTCCATATGATTCTTAAAAGGAAAACCCTCCCTAAAAAGAACTTTAGGGCTCAAGAAAAAGGGTAAAGCAATGCCTGAATAATGAAAACACAAGCCAAGTCACAATACCAAGAGGCATGACATTTATGCTTTAACCCCTATATGTCAACATAAATTGTCCTTTCATAGCAAATATGAAACATCTATATGCCAAATGGATGGTGAGTAATAACCATGCTTTGACCCAAACCAAGAAGATGAAACACCCAGGAATAGGGTATGTGAGTGGATCAAGGCTGCATGAAAGTGCCTGGTGAACTTTATAGTAAAAAGTTTTTAAAAGTGCTGCATTTTGTAACAATCTGGATGATAATAAGGGTTGTGCTGTGATGGACAACAATGTAAATGATGCAAGTTCCATAGGAGGCAGCTGTGATGAAGAGTAAAGGTGAATATCAAAAAAAGTTCACCCTAACTGGTTTTTCCTCTCATTTCTTGTTAGAATTTTTTTTTTACTTTATCAACTTCTAATGTGAGACTATTAAATGTGAGCTTTTTAGAGACATGCCACAACATGACAAAGAGAGACATGGTATCTGCATAAATTTAAGCTAGAAATTAGAAGAGGTTCTAATCAGAAGAGCGAGATTCTAGAATAACTTTCCAGGTGAGGGCAAACCTGCCTAATTTTAACATGAAGCTCAAAAAGTTTATTAACAAGATTATATGAGATAGTTGCCTACAATAAGCAAAGACTGGATATGATGATGACCTAGAAAGGTCCCTTTAAGTCCTATATCCAGTTCAGGTCAAGTCTGTAGAAGCAAGATGGCAATAACAAAGAGAAAAAAATGTGGAAGTTAGAGGGATTGCTGGCTTTTTGTCCATTACTGAAAACTGCCTGTCAGTTAATGTGAATTTTGTGGGCAGCAGTGCCATTGTCTGTAGTCTTAATCTAAGTGATGGTCATTTTTCATATTGGAAAAAAAGGGTTTCAGCTAAACCTTTGATCTCCAGTGTATACATCTAGAAACGTACCATAAAATTATTAATCATAAAAATACTCAATATATACAAATGATTCATACAAACATATGCCATATATTTCCTTACTGTAGATGGGTCACTCCTGTAAAGCAAACAAAAGCAAGTATTTCAAATATATTTTTATATATTTATATATATATATATATATATAAAATTTGGTAAATATAGTCAATGTGTGAAATGCAGAATTTCTTTTTCAGATTCAGTTACTTGGGTTTGTTAGGAATCAAGTACATTTGAAGGTATAGGATTAGTTACTGGGAAGAACTTCTGCTTTATAGCTGCATTGGCATAAATCCCACTCTCATTTTGCCAAGTGTTGATGCCATGTCTTCTGTAATCTGCTGTGTCAGTAAACTGAGAATGACATTTTCTATGAACTACAGAATAACCATCTGGTTGGACTCCAACCTATGGAAGCAAGAAAGACAAAAGTTATTTTCCAGTAAACAGAGATTCAAAACATGGTGCTTTGATAATGTGCATGTTATGGTCAAACTAATTTATAAGAAATAAACCATTTCACAGATTAAAAATCTATCTCCTAATAAAATGTCTGGTCCGAATATCAGATTACTGAATTCTAACATTCTACCTTGGACCAGTAGATAAGATACTTAGTAGTAGTAGCCAAAACTAGTGAACCTAGGAGTTTGATCTCCTTCCTGGTTCTGAAGATTATTTCTGTAAATTAACTCAAATAAATGTATTTGGTTAAATCAAATTATTCTTCCTGTGCAATCTTGGCTAATTTTGCGCTTCAGATTTACAGTGTGTTGAAGAGCACACAATGGTAATTATTGCTGTAAGCCATTTTTATTACTGTATGAAATGGGTGCAATTTTTCAGGGGGGCTCTGTTCCTGGGGGGCACTCTTCCCCCTCCTCCCCTTTTTCCCCCCACCCCCATGAGGCTGGGAGCAGGGGCTGTGCGAGACTGCACAGTGTGGGGGGTGCGGGGAAGCACCTGGCACCAGCACTGGAGCTGCAAGCTCAGGCTCAGAGCCCCAGTGGGAGATAAGGCAGGCTCTGCTCTGTCCCCCAGCACAGCACTGGTTGGAGCCGTGCCTGCACCAGACACTAGCACCCTGACTTCCTTGCCTGCTACTGCTGCCAGGCAGCAAGGGCTGCAGCTGTGGGGGAGTGTGCACAGCCGTGGGGGAGTCCCCTAGACCCTCCCACCCCCCACCCTGCCCAGCTGAGCTGTGTGCTTCCACTGCCCCTCTGGGGGAAGGAGGAGGGGGAAGAGTTTCCCCCAGCATGGAACAGAGCCTCCTCCTGCCATGGAGGGGGAGGAGTGGGGAGAAGACTCCCCTCTGGGGCTGGGCAGCCTCACAGAGCCCCACTCCCCACCCCTTGGTGCCAGAAGGGGAGGAGGAGGGAGAAGAGCCCCCCCAGCACTGAACAGGGCCCCCCGGCAGTGGGGGAGAGGGAGGAAGGGGAAAAATTCCCCTTTAGAGCTGAGCAGTAGGGGTGTGCAAAATGGGCTGTATTCAATTTGGATTCTGATTCGGCCCGAATCGGGGACAGTGATTCTATTCGTTGATTCGAATCACTGTCCCTGATTCGATTCAGCCAAATCCAAATCTGAAGATCTGATGCTGATTCAGAGAATCAGCAATTAGGCCATAGACAAAGCTTTAAATGTTTATTCTGTGTACCTTGAGGTACCAGGCGTGATTCATGAATGCTGCGATGCTGGGGCAGATGGAATGTCCCACAGGAGTGCAGGGCCCCCCCACCCCAAGTGCTCGGCAGTGAACCCAGAAGTGGATTGAAAGTACTTCTGGTCCACTTCCAGGTCCGCCACCGAGCAGGCAGGGGCCCCCCCCCATGTCCCCCTGGCTTGACAATCAGTCGCAGGGGGACCCTGGGTACCCCCTCAGACCCAGGAGGCACCAGTCACTCAGCTGGGGGGCACAGCGGGGCCCCCCCACACTCTCCCCGGTGAACCCAAAAGTGGACGAGAAGTGCTTCTGGTCTACTTTTGGGTCTGCTGCCAAACGCGCTGGGGAGCCCCCCACACTCCTGTGGGATGCTTCATCCACCCCTCCATCACAGCATTCACAAGCCACCTTGTACCTTGAGGTATGTAGAAAAAACATTTAAAGCTATTAAAGTTTATATCTGAATCACCAAATCTTTCTGAATTGATTCAGAGGGTTCCGATTCGACTTGGATTTGGAGAGATTAAAGGGTCTCCCGATTCGATTCAGATTCAGAAATCAGTCACAGAATCAAATCAGGGACCGAAGCTTTGAACAGCCCTACTGGACATCTGTGTGTGCCTGGATTGCTTCTGGATGCCAGGCCATGCCCCCCTCCTCAACTCAGCTTCCCTATGGAAGGAAGGGAGGGCTGCTCTAATGCCCCCAGGCTTCTCGCTTGAGCCACTGCAGGCATATACTGAATGTCTATCCACTTGTAAACTGGTTCACTCTCTGTAAGTTAGAGTAACCTGCAAAGACTAAATCAATTCAGGCTCAGGCTTTTTGACTGTCTGTCCCTAGCCCTAGCAAGAAAGTTTTTCCTAATATCTAATTTCCCTTGCTGTGACTTAAGACTATTGCTCCTTGTTATGCCATTAGCCACCACTGAGAAAAGTTTAGTTCTATCCTCTTTTTAACACCCCTTCAAGTAGTTGAAGGCTGTTATTAGACCCCCCTCAGACTTCTCTTCTCCCAACTAAAACCCAGTTCCCTCACTCTCCTCATAAGTCATGTTAGCCAGCCCCCTAATCATTTTTGTTGCACCCCACTGGACACTCTCCAATTTGCTGACATACTTTTTGTAGTGAGAGGCCCAAAACTGGACACAGTATTCCAGATGTAGTCTCACCAGTGCAGAAGAGAGAGGAAGAACCAATTCCTTCAATCTGCTAGCAACACTCCTACTAATGCAGCCCAGTATGCCATTAGCCTTCTTGGCAACAAGGGCACACTGTTGGCTTATATTCAGCTTATTGTCCACTGTAACCTCCAGGTCCTTTTCTGCAGAGCTGCTGCTTAGTCAATCAGTCCCCAGCCTGTAACGATGCATGGGATTGTTCGTAAGTGCAGAACTTTGCACTCATCCTTACTGAACCTCATAAGATTTCTTTTGGCTCAAACAAGAAATGTTATGGTTTTTTATTTGAATAGTAGGCAGAGTAGTTATGCTCCTCTTCAGTATGAGAAAAATGAGGCACTAATTCACCTAAAGGAAAGGAACCACCACTGGGGGAGGGGTAGGCCAAGGCCACAAGGACTAAGGCCATAGTAGTGAAGCAGAAGCCATAGCAGTCTTTAGGCCATAAGAGCTAAAGCTTGTTGGAAGGGGCAGGCTGACAGAAACTAGGGTGAAGGGCCCAGGGAAAGGGGAAAGCTTTGCCAAGGCTAAGGGCATGGCAGGCTGACAGGAGAGTGTAAGGGCCAGGGACTCAGAGAAGAGAGCTTTGCCAGGGTCAGGGACTTGTGAAACCAACCAGAGCTTGATGGACAGGCCAGAGGGCCCAGTGGACAAGTTAAGATAACATCTTGAGGCATGGCTATGCCTACAGGGGTGGAAGGAGGCCATGCATAGCCCATAAAGCCCACATCTTTCCTCTTAATCTAACTCGAACCTTTCAGTTTGAGAAGTAATCCCTCTATGTCCATTTAAAGGCATATTGCCTGGAGACTACAGGAGCTTGTATATGTACTATGTACATATGTACTATGTACTGCTATGAGAACACAGGATTACAGTCTCTGTAGCTTTCAAGATAGCCTTTTTCATGGACATTAATTTCACAGTAAAAAAAGTTTATTTTAAAATATGGAGGAGATCAAAAGGGCACAGCCATTGCCCCTTTAACTCCAAAACATCTTTAGTAAAATGTTACCTTTTTCCCCCTCAAAGAAAAACAAAATGTCCAAAACCTCAAACTTTTAAAAAAATCTTTTAAGTTTTTGATTACTATTCAATTCCAGATATGTATTTTGTTTTAATGTTCACAGTAGTGTAATTCTTCTACTACCTATATAAATAGAGCAATAACATTCATACACACAGCAGGGGGAAAAAGATAGAAAAGAAGCTGTTAAATTTTTATTTGGCTGAAGCACCATTAAATGCAACCAAAGATAGTAAGAAACATATAAATAATACATTTTTCCCCCAAACCCTGTGCTCTTGTGGTAGTAAACCAAGAAAGGACAGAATAAATAGCTGTAGTGAGGAATCTTTAAACAGTTTGCTAGTAAGTTATACGCAGATGGAAAACTGTATCTCTATAAATGTATAAACTCTAAAATAAATTATAACTGTCTCATTTGTCTACTGGCTCCTGTAGCTATATTGCTAATAGCTCTATGCAAATACAAACAAATCATCATTTCAGAAGCAGCTTTTTCTTGTTTCCTCAAAGTTAATTATGCACTCTACAGATGAAACTGCATTTAAAACAAACTGTAAAGTATCATTTTAGTGTTCCTATTTACTTACATATGGTGTATAGTCATATGGAGGAATGTATTCTATATGGTATGTTGTATCTAGATCCCTATAAGGTAAATGAAATGCATGATATGAGAAATAACCTAAGGCAGTCTATTTATTTTATATGTTATACAAAATAAATAATAGATAGCAGCCATTTTCAGAAAGACTATTAACTGTTTGAATTATTGCAATATCTAGGCCAGAGCATTAGTTTGCAAAATAAAATCATTTACTTTCTGAAATTTACTTGCTTAGGTTTTTTTCCTAAGGAGTAACAAATTTCAGAGCAGAATATAGGGGAATCTAATTTTCATATGAATTTAACTGAGAGCATGTGCTCCAACTACATGAGCATGCACTGAGATGTACTGTACAGGTGTATATACACTGATATTCATAAGCATTAGGGATGGAAGGGATCTCGGAGGATCATTGAGTCCAGCCCCCTGCCCCAGGAGTCTGTTCCAGGCCCTACGGGCTCGGACAGTAAAGTTCTTCCTTATATCCAGTCTGAAATGGTCTTGGAGGAGTTTGTGACTGTTTGACCTTGTCATCCCATGGGGTGCTCTGGTGAACAGACGATCCCCCAGATGCTGATGTACACCCCTTATATACTTATAGACAGCCACCAGGTTCATGTGCATGGCTCTCCTCTGAACTCTTTCAAGCTTCTCCACATCCTTTTTAAATTGTGGACCCAGAATTGGATGCAGTACTCCAGCCTCACGAAGGCCAAGTACAGAGGGAGGACGACATCCTGGAATTTGCTAGAGAAGCATCTGTGGATGCAAGCTAGAGTTTTGCTTGCTTTGCCAGCTGCAACATCACATCGGTGGCGCATATTCATCTCGTGGTCAATCATGACCTCCAAGTCCCTTTCGGCCATGGTGCTAGCAAGTGTAGCACTGCCAAGCCTATAAGCATGCTGCGGGTTTTTCTTCCCAAGGTGGAGTACCTTGCATTTTTCAGTGTTGAAGGCCATCAGGTTTTCATCCACTTATTTTCCAAGCCTGTCAAAGTCGGCCTGGATCACCGTTCTGTCCTTGGGTGTGGACGCTTTACCCCAAAGTTTGGTGTCATCAGTGAACTTGGCCAGTCTGCTTCTGATACCAATGTCCAATGATAAGTATGTAGAGATCCCTTGCACACCCTGTACTTCCATACTTAAACTGGGCATGCTGATTCTTGGATACATGGTATCATTTATAAGAAATTGTAAACCTGATACAATGTCTTCTTTCTGGCTGGAATGATCTAGTTGGGGATGGTCCTGCTTTGAGCAAGGGGTCAGACTAGAGGTCTCTTCCAAACCTCATTTTCTATTATTATGACTCTTTCTTTCTTTTTTAAATCACTGCTTAAATTAACACCTTTCACTTCTTTAGTGACCAGTTTTCAGGGACTGTATCTGGGATACAGTCCCACACATACAGAACCATAAATAGTTGGCATCAGTTGCAGATCTGTTACAATACTGTGCATAGGCTAATTAGCCTATCCAGCTTTTGTATGACAGGCTTTAATATATACACACACACACACACACACACACACACACACACACACACACATATATACATATATATATATAGTGTGTGTATATATGTATATAGTGTGTATGTATACACACACACACAAATTCAAATGAAGCCCTTTAGACACCTTGGGGTGATGAATATATGTGTACCTGCAAAATCCCACCAATGAAACTATGCTTTTCAATATCTGCTTATGTAGATCGAGTATATACATATGTATGTGAAATTCTGCATATCTGAAATGCCAACAATTTATGGCATTATGGCAAGAAAATGAGAGGTTTTTAGGAGTAAAATGCCTAAAAGGAGCAGGAACACCATCTTCTATGTGCCAGTCCTTAACCAAGGAGACAGGCACAATTTAATCTATATAGCAGGAAGTGATTAAAAAGGGATACAGAAAACATAGTTTAGTGCATGGAGTAAACTGTAGACATGTAAGAGCGAATCATGACATTTAAAAAGGCACAATACCTGATGCAACTACAGTAGCGAGAAATAAGCCTTAAGTGACAGAGCAGGGAAGGCATAACTATGGCTGGGTAGAAAATTATAGAGTATTTTTTTCAGTTTGTAAATGATCATTTTCTCTAAAACATTTGGATTAATTGGCTTAATGAAAATATTAGCTCACCCTATGCTAAACAGTGGTTTGTATTTCAAAATATAAGAATGCAGCAGTTACTGAACTAAAACCTCCAAAAAAAGCATTCTGTGCACTATAAATAAACTAAAGACAACAACAAATTGTTTAATCTTCCTCACCAAACATTATATGTTTGTCTTAAAACATCCTCCACAAACTGCCTAGTCTAAAGCAGTGACTAACCTTTTGAAATGGGTTCAAAGCTATCATCAAAAGCAGATGATCCAGTTAAAACAAACTCCTTAGAAAATGAAGCTTTTTAAAAGGAATCTGTGAGGTAAATATCAAGTTTGAGGGTTTGACTAACTTGCCCACCATTACATAAAACAGGACTACCATTGCCTTGATTTTATTTCCCTTTCTTCTATTTAATACTTATATATACAGCCACAAGTTGTGCAGCTACATTTTTAGTTCTGCACTTAAAAGACAATGGTGCCAGTTGTGCTTAAAATAACTATGCAAGTATGCTGAGAGACAAACTGTGACATTTTAAAAATCTGCAAAGAGGCAAAGAAAAATATTAATGAAATTCAACAAGGTGTAATTCAATGTTCCAAAGAGTTAAGGAGTCCACAGAAGGGACATGGCCCAACTACCATGAAAGTTTAGAGATCAGAGAGGAAACACTGCATTTCAAGGTGTCTGTGGATAGCAGCTCTTTCTCCGTTTCTGCCACAGTTGCAATCAGACTGTGCAGCTCCTTCAGATTATTGCTCAGACCAATTTAAAAGTTTCTTTAACTTTTAAAGAATTACAGGAAAAGGTTGCTCTAGAATCAGGTTCAGGTCTTTTATGCCAGTTCATTTGAAATAGAAGAAGAGCCTTGGACTTTATTTTATTCGCTGTTTTAAACCAGTGTTGATCAACCTCTGACCTGCAGGTTGAAACTGGGCTCTGGAAACCACAGCAATTAATTCTGCCACCATTCCCCCACCATTATATTTCTGGACCTGTGGGAAGCCCTGTGGTTCAGATGACACTGTCACATGGGTTCATGCAGGTCTAGATCTGGTGAGCAAAGAACCACCCTGCAGCCAAAACCAGCACACCACCCTCATGCTGGATCTGCCCCATGGACCAACCCTGCCCGTGCAGTCCAGAACTCGAGGCTAAAAGGTTGACCACCACTGTTTTAAGCTACTGCCATATATCAGGTAGATCACATATATATGGAAACAAAATATACCTTAAAAACATACTGTAAAGATTGACAAATTAAGTTTTGAGAAAACAAATTTTCAGTGGGTGCATCTACACATGTTATTAATACGATGCAATAAACTCCGGCCCAAGGAGTCAGCCTGCCACCCCAGAGCTGCTCCACCATGGCACAACGTGCTGCAGACGAGCTGGCTGGGGTACAGGGGTGCTACAGTGCAGGGGCTGCCTGCCAGCAGGATAATACTTACATCAAGCGTTAATACCCTTTGGTGGAGTTCATTAGTTTACCTTTGTCACAACCCAGTTAATCAGTGCCCGTGACACTAGCAAGAGATACCATTCAAGTAGTCAACTAAGAGTTAAAAGAAATCCTTGCCAAAAACTCCTGAAACAAAATCCTGGCGGAGAGCTGTATATAATTTATGCCCACGTCACAAACAAGAAACGAAACTTAAGACTGGTCAGGGTGAAAGGGGATACCCCTGCCATAAATCCCTGCAATAAAAAGCGAGGGAAAACTGTATATAATTGGTCAAGAAACAAGCGTAAGCCCCTCATCATAACCTCATACGTAACAGGCAAGAAACCTGACCCACTACCTTGTAACCTGATAGCAACCTGAGAGCACAAAGAACTGCTGCTTGCCAGAAAATTAAAGATTCCACATAACGGTTCATCATTGGGTATCTCCATCAGACACCTCTGTCTATAAATAGTTTAGCAACTTCCGCCCAAGCCGGGGAAAACTGGGGAATCTCTGAGGAGAAACCTGAGCTCATCACCAGAGTGACTTGGCAGTCTGATCAGCTGTCAATTACCCCCTGTCATCGTAAATCTTGATGTATCAAAGCCCTGCAGGCACGATAGCACGTTTTCGGCACCACGTCCATCATTGCTTGGGTGTAACCCATACGTTTGACTATAATCGATGCAACTGTAACAGAAACAAAGGCTCAGCCTGCGTCACACGTCACTATCTGGGCAATGTAAGTAAACAATCTCCTGTAACCAACACACATCTGTGCCTGGTTAATTTCACCCCATCCATCACTACCCACCTGTCAGGTGAAAGTTTTACTGCTCCGGTGGTAGGATTCAGAAAGCAGCTGCCGGCCGGCTGCTCTGAGTCCCGACAACCTTGGGCTAATAGTGCCCTATTTGTAGATGGTGACACTTTACTGCAGTGCTAATTAGGCAACTCTGCAGTAAAGGGCACATGTAGATGCCCCCAGATTCTCATTTGTAAAATGTGCGTCCAACTTACCAGTTATTGTTTGATTTTTCCCTACCCTCACTCTCCCCCAAATTGCTAGCTTGAGCATCTCAGCTGATCTCAGCTGTCAAGAGAGAGAAGAGAGAAAGAGAGAGAGAGAGACATGGCTTCCCAGGTAGCCAGGATTTAAAAAGTTTTATAGGTCAAACTCATAAACTGACACCTGTCAACCCAAGTGTTCAGTATACTTAGGCACTGCAGAGCAAAAAATTTAACACCATCCCTGTACAGGGCCTCCTCAGTTTCATACAAAAAGTACCATTGGAGCAGGAGAGTAAATAACCAACACTACAACCTGTAAGGTCTTAGACAGAACCCTTCAAGTACCCTTCTGAGACACTGCAGCCTTTGCCAGACATGCAGGTAAAGGCACAATACAATCTGGTGCACAAATCACATAATTGTGCTTTCTACCATGCCATTCAGGCATGGCAGAAGGC